AGACTGAAAAATACCTGTAATGGCGAGAAGAAAGTTCTAACAAACTGAAGTGTTCAGGACATGGCAAACACAACACTGAGGAAATGGGCACTGTACAGGGGGAGAGCAGACCTCTGATATTTTAGGGTGAGAGATGTTCCCATCTCCAAAGCTAAAGCACTTGAGCGAGCAAGAAAGGGGGGTGTGGAAGAGAGGAGCACAGGCAGGGCAGGTGGGGGAGGCTGGTAAGCAGGGCAACAGGACGGAGGACCCAGAAACAGCCGGCATCCTCAGAAGCAAGGCCACTGCAAGAGCTGGGCTCAGAACATGCAGGGCTCTGCCATGTGGCTCCCAGGCAAGAACTGAGGTGGGCTGCCTGAGAGCGGCAAGGGCCAGCCTCTTGCAAGTGACTGAGCAGGGCCAGTTACAGAATGTAAGAGGAGCTAATGGCTGATGAGAAACAGATAAGAGCAGGTGTGGAAACTGAGGGGAACAGTAAGTCCGTGACAGGAGGGGTCACAGAGCCCAGCCAGCTACACATGCCCACATACCTGTGACCTCATGGCAGTCGAGGATCGCAAAGCCGTGGTGCATGCAGGCGGCCAGGAGGAGGTCGCAGTGGAAGGGGTGCCACTTGAGCCTCCACACCCCACCCTGCACATGAGCATCGGCCAGTGGTTGCTTCATGTTCCGTGTGTCCCACAGGAGCACATGCTCATCATAGCTGGAAGCCCAAGGTGGGTAGAACCAGTGCTTAGTCCCTCCCAAAGGCAGGACACCTCCCAGGAGACCTGTCCCATTCTTCCTGTCCCCTCACGGACCTACACACTTGCAGAGTGGGCTGTGGCACCATGGAAGGGCAGGCACTCACCTCCCTGTGGCCAGGATGTGCTCCCGATGCAGGCTGCATTGGACACTGCACACACCCATGGCATGGCTGCAGACAACAGCCAGCCTGAGCACCGGTGGGGCAGGGGCCCTTGGGCTGGGTCTGGATCCCGCACCGACCCTGGGCTGTTACCTTGAGCTGGTGAAGACACACAAGCCAGAGGTCCTGGTGTCCCAGCCTTTCAAGAGGCCATCGTCTCCACCTGTGTGGACACAGAAGCCTAGTGTCATGGCACTGATAGCAGGGAAGCTGGGGGGTCTGTGAAGTCCCTGGGTGAGACTAGGAAGCAGAAGAGACACGTGACACAGGGTTACAGGGAAAGCATCTGCCTTTAGGCTCTGGCATCACAGTCCCACCTGCCCAGGCTGATGCCTTCCAGGGAACTGCCTACCAGAAGCAGCAGACAAAAGTGCACACCCCTGAGCTGCCAAGGGAACTCCTTTGTAATCCACAGGGAAAGGACCCTGCACTGGCTGGTGGGGAACCGCAAAGGATAAAGACAGGACAGAAGGTGGCATCAGGGGGTGTGGAAGAAAAGCTGAGGAGCAGGGCCGACCAGGGTCAGGGCAGAACCTCCCTTTCAGAAGTACTACCACTCTGACACCTGTGCATCTTCCTTACTTCCAAAAGGCAGCTGTGTCCAAGACAAGGGGTGGGTGATTCTGAGAGAAGCTTAGAAAACAAGTTAGGATGAGACTGAGCACATGCCTAACACATGTGAGGCCATAGGTTACATCGCTGAGCAAAAATGAAAACCAAGATGGGAACTACAGGAAGGTAAAAGACACAGGGGCCAATATGGTTTGCAGGCTTCCGACCTAGTGGGCAGGCCATGTTCACCCACAGGGTTGTTTGGCAAGGGTGGTAGGAAACCAACAAGAAGCTGGAGAAACGGAACAACTCTGTACAGACAGAAAGGGGCAGCAATGTTGGAAAAGGGCTGGCAGGAACGATAGGCCATGATCAGCCAGGCAGAGAGGGCCCAGACATGCTGAGTGGCCCAAGAAGCTTCCTGGGATTAAAAACCCGGGAGCTGCGGCCACCAGCAAAAACACTGGCACATGGGCCTGGGCAGAAAAGCCTGCAGGGAAGGCTGAACAGAACACTCCTGGGGGCTGGGGAGATGGCTCAGTAGAATAAGCACTTGCCTGGCAAGTGCAAGGGCCTGAGTTCAATCCCTAGTTCTGCAAAAAAAAAAAAAAAGACCATTCCTGGCCCTCCCCCATCCTGGTGGAATTCACAAAAATGTGGTCTGGCACACTGTGGCACACCTATCATCCTAGCTACTTGGGAGCCTTAGGCAACAGGTTCCCAAGCCCAAGGCCAGCCTGCTCAACCAAGACCCTCTTGGGGAAAAAAAAAAAAAAGGAATGGAAATGTAGTTCAGTGATATAATTTCCCAGGGTTCCATCTTCAGCTCTTTGCAAATCTGGTGGCTCCTCTTCTGTCTTCTTCCAAAGCCCAGCATCTCTATTGCGCATGATTTATCTCCACCTGCACATGAGGTGCTCCCTGAGCTCCTCTGCTCCCAGCTGTTGATTTCTCCTGCCACATTGGTATCCCTAAGCACAAACCACCCAAAAGACCAGAAAATTCACCTTATTTCCTTCATGATTCCTATTCCTTCAAAAGGTAAAGTATAGCCTGAAATCAAGGAGACCAGCAGATGGGAAGAAGTGTGGGAACAGTGCTAGAAATGGGACTAGGCAAGGTCAGAAGGTACTCACGCTAAGCACAGGCAAGAGGTATGGTTCCCTGTGGGACAGGAAGTGCTGCCGGCCACAGGGCTATCAGGAAACTCAAGTCTCCACACAGGCTGGCCGTACCTCACCAGAGCCCCATTTCCTGCCTCCTTCACCCATGTTCCTCATCACGCCAATCATAACAACATCCAGCAGAGGTACACTGACCTGAATACACGACTTCTGTCTGCCAGTAATTGAAAGCAGCGACCCAGGCCTCAAAGTGGTGGGCCTGCCACGTGGCCACCTGCTGCACCCTGGGCCCCGCCTCCTCCAGCATGAGGAGGTGCAGCTTCCCCTTGGAGTCACTGCTGATGATCTTCAAGGGCTGGTCACTGGACCTAGACACAGAGATGAGGGAACCATTAGCTTCCCCCAGTGACATCACCATTCATTTAGCATGCTAGGACTCTCCTGGTTTTTAGATCAGGGCTAGTATGAAGACAGAGGTAAGAATGAGGGCCCCTGGCCAAGCCTGAGCCTTACCTTCCTCGTTTCCCAGTGGACCAATCCAGTGACAAGGCCAGACGCTCCTCCCCCAGCAATAGGCGGGACCAAGGCTCCAGGAAGGGCCTGCTCTCCTACTGGTGAGAAGGGAGCCACATACCTCACCCCCCTCTTCATCCCCCAGGAGGACACAAGGCACCAAACACTGCCAGTCGGCCACATACCAGGCACTGTGCAGGGCTGCAGATCCCCACACATATGACCTGGGGACAAGATGGTTTCTTGCCTCACCCTCTGTTCTCCGACATGATGCTGCCTCTGTGAGCTCTAAAAGACACAGGCTGGGCACCACCCAGGCCTCCAGGGGACCTGGCCCATTCAGTCCCCAGAGATGGGAACACTGGGAACTTTTCTCATCATCCATTTCAGAAGCCATCACAGCACTGAAGTGGTACTTCTTTTGTCTAGGACTAGGGGTTTTATTACCTAAACATCTGAATATTGGTAACAAACATCAGTAGCCACCCAGTGGAATTCAAGCCCCTTCCCAGATGTACGTGCTTCTGCCTGGTATCTGGTTTTGGCCATTTCCTTCCCTCATCCCCAGAATGAGTGACTGCTCTGAGCAGGCCCTTCCACCCAGGCCCTCAACACTATGAATTAGCTCAAGGATCTTCACTCAGTTCTACTGCAGCACCTGCTAGTATGTCCCTTACTCCTTGTTAGCAGGAGGCTGGGAACAGGTGACATCACTTCACTTAGGTGGCTCCCTGTTCCCCAGCATCTTTCGACACATGAATTCATTTTGCCACAGGACAGAATCAGATCACTGTGAAACCTCAGAAACCAATCACACAGGAACCCGCTGCTATCCTGAGACCCATTTTCACATGGGAACACCACTGCCATTCTCAACTTCCCTATCAACCCTAGACATCCCTGTCCTGCTGTCTCTGTGAACAGCTTGTCACCATAGCTCTTCTGTGGGGTCACCTGAGGTGACCTCCTCTTCCTAGAACCCAGTACAAGTTAAACCCTGTGCCTCCTTAAAATGTTCAGAACAATTCCAGCACCAAACAGACTGCTTTAGGAAACAGTCTAACCCTGCAGCCCTCTCTACTCCCAGAGCCAGGCACGCACCTCAGATTGCACCAGGCGGAGCAACTCCACAGACCCACTGGCATCTGCCACAGCCAAGATGCCACAGCCGGCCACCGGGACATGGCACCTGGGGAGAGAGTGCACCATCAGCGCCCAGGCAGGCAGCAGCACAGGGAGAATTACTGTTCCAGGGTTTATCACTTAGTTTCAGCTCAAAGCCGAGTTAGAGCCCACAATCCTACAGCTAGCCCAAAGGACCCCCAGCACACAAAGTCAGAAATCCTGTTGCTTCCCAGACTGATCCTCACTCTAGCCTGGGAAACAAGGGCCACAAGCCCCAAAGAAACATGTTCCTGACCAACTGCCAACAGGTGGTGGGGCAGCAAAGACGGGAGCACAGCACAGCGGCTTCCTATCTTGGCGAAGGCCCTCAGACACCAGATCCCATTACGTGAACAGATAGATACTCAGCACAAGTGCCAGGCCAGGTGGGGCGGTCTCCAAAGCGCTACCATTTCATGTCCAGCACTCCGGGGGTATCTCTCCTTTGGACCTCGACCAGAGGATAAGCAGAGTCGTCCTCGCTGAAAATGTACAGGTGGACGCGGCCTAGGCGGACTTGTGGCTGCTCAGTCGACCAGCCCTAGAAAAAATACACCTTCTCTGATTAACAGAGGCAAGGACCCAGGGGAATCCAGAGGAGGCTTCCCAAGACAAGCTCTGTCTAGAAGCAGAACTCAGCCTCAGTGGTCTGAGCTCTTTCCTGGCTACGACCAATAGTAAGTGAATTCTCTGGGCGCAGCATGAAGTTTCCACGTAGCCCAGAGACGGCTATCGTGCCGCGCCAACACCCTGCATGGGCAGATGCTTCTGGTCTCCCGCCTGAGGTACCCGGATTCCCCGGCCCCTTCCTGTCCCCCCATCCACAGCACCTCGTCCCCGGAGTCACGCAGCTGGTAGGTGCCGCAGGCCAGCAGGCGCCGACAGCCCTCCAGCGGGCACCACTCCACGGTGTCCGCGCTGAGCTCGGTGTCTACGGCCTGCAGCTCCCGCAGACGGGTGCCTGCCATAGACGCCGAACGCAGGCAACGCCTCTGCCAACTCCTTCCGGGGTCGCAGGGCAGGGCTTCTGCGAGCTAGGCGGGCCGGCGGGCGGGCCGGGGCGGAGCCCGGAGGGGCTGGAAGAGGGGAGCAGGAAGCAGAAGTGTGCAGGCCAGAGAGGCTCTGACGCCGGACTACGCGGAGGTCTTGGGGTGGGAAGGAGGCAGGAAACTGGATCTTCCCTCGGAGGCCACGCAAACGCTAAAGCCTCTCCAGAAAGCTCCCAGCCAGCGGGGCGTGGAGCTGCACCCCTGCAATCCCAGCACTCAGGAAGCCGAGACAGGCGATCACCCTGAGTGCAAGACCAGCTTGGGCTACAAAGTGAGTTCAGGGCAGCCTGAACTGCACAGCAAGATTATGCCTTCAAAAGGACAAATAGGGGCCGGAGAGATGGCTCAGTGGAATAAGCGCTTCCCTGGCAAAAGCAAGAGCCCGAGTTCAATCCCCGGTTCCGCCAAAAAAAAAAAAAAGACAAATAAAATAGAGCCTTAGTAGTACAATCAGAAGCAAAGGAGCCAAGGTACTCCCTTCCTTTCCTTCAACTGTAACCCTTACAGCAGCCGAAAGGTTATCCATGCTTCTGTAACCCTAGAACTGGAAGTTGTGTGAGCCACCTCCCTTCTCCCCATTCAACCCTAAAAACACGACCACCCCGCGAATTTATGAGGCCGGACAGACTGCAGAGAAACGGCACAGACATCCAGGACTAGGGGTGTCCACCCGTATAAATACTGGAATCCTGGCCCAGGTCATAGCTCAGTGGCACAGTGCCTGCCTGGCAAGCACAAGGTCTTGAGTTTGATTCCTGGTACCAAAAATACACATATGCACACATACATACTAGAAGCTTATGTTCCTACTGCTGCTCCAGGATTTTCAATAAACTTAATATATACAAAGTATACTCTCAATTCTTTCCTTGAAGTACACAAGAACCTGGACCATGTGGGCCCATTTAACTGTAGTATTAGGGTGGGGCCTAATACAATGTGACTTTATGAAGACAGACATCTAGACAGAAATGGAAGACCAGGGACAAGCCAAACGTGTTCATGGACTCTTGCAGAGGTGCAGAATGTGGAGCACATCTCTCCCTGGTGTTTCAAGGAATGTAGCCCGACAGACAGCTGTACACAAATCCTGGCCTCCATAAGCCCAAGACAATCCTATTGTTTCAGGGCGTTGCTGGTGGCAACACTCTTGAGAAAGAAATCCAGGGGACACCTGTGTTCTCAGTCCTAGGCTAAGATGGAGGTATGAGTGCAAACCCAGCTCCAGGACCAGCAGACAGCAGCGGAAGCAGAGGCAGTGAGGAAGCTGGGGATGCACAACACTTTCAGACCAATCTCAGGCTCCAACCTCAGGCTCCCATGTCAGCCACAGGACACTGAAGCCAAGCATCCTACCATGCAAAGGCAGGCCCCACCCACCATGGACCCTCTGAACACCATCATGGGACAGCTACAAAAATGTCAGGACCCTGAGCAGGAGAGGGGGCCAGGTATCACACAGGCCAGAAAAGCAAACAGGAATGAAAGCAGGCCACAGACACCCCCTTGGCAATAGGTTGCAAGCTGGGAATTCTTGCCCAGTGTCACTTTCAAATGAGATGGTGAATGCAGGTTAGGGCAGCTGGGGACATCGACAGGCTGTCCCAACCTGCCCAGTCCCCTAAAGACACCAAGATGATGTGCAGTCTGAGAGACCCATCCCAGGTCATCATCCCATCAAGCTCACCTAAGCCCGACACAACTACCTGGGTCCCTCCACCCCAGCTGTCCTGGCTTCTGCTAGACTGGAAGCTTTAAAATTCCTACAGCTCCAGGATGCAGGGTACAAGCCAGTGGCTATCTGCAGTACTGTCCTGGGGTCATACTTACCTCCCCTTCCCAGTGCTGTTCAGCCAGCAGCCTGAGCAGGATCCCATCAACCCAGCAGTGTCCCCAACCTCTAGATAGCCTGGTGGGCCCTCTTGGTGTAGGTCCAAGGGCACGAAATCCCTTTGCTCCAGGAACCCCTCCCCATGCAAAATGATTACACTGCCACTGTGATTTCAGCATATTCCTCTGAGGACCTGCTCATAGACCAAAGGCTACTGAAGGGCCACCTACCAGGGACAGTGAAGGCAAGCCTGTCATGTGTGGCAATGCAGGCAGCTTACATCACTGAAAGATCTAAGGCTGTCACTGGACAGGGTGACCAGCCATTGTTGTTCACACCTATAATCCTGGAACTGGAGACTGCCAAGGGAGCACAATCACAGCTTACAGCCTGGGAAAATTAGCCAGAATACCTCCAAGTTGAAAACAGAAAACTGGGGATGTATCTCAGCACACAGCCTAGAGTTCAATTCCTGGTTCCACAAACGAAAGGGGGAGGATAACAGGTCTCCGCCTGTTTAGGTGTAAAATATCCCCAAGTCTCCCGTGTCTTAATGGGCCCTTGGGAAGGTGACTTGATCACAGGCGTAACCCAGTTCCTGGCCGAATGTGCTTGTAGGAGGTAGGGTCTGGTTAGAGATGGCTCACTGGGGACCCACCTAAACACAACTGTATTGCAGGGCAGGGTCCACAGGATTTCACTACATAGATCATAGTCTATTTGTGGTTTCTAACCATCCCCTTGTCCCACCCCCCAAAAAAATATACATGAGTTTACAATCTGTATTTTAGGGAAGGGTCCACAGGGTCTCACTACGTAGATCAGACTCAGTGATTCTCGTTTACAGCCTTCCAAGTGCTGCCGTTACAGGCCACCACACCATCTCAACTGCTTCCCAGGATGACCCCGGGACAGGGCCGGCATGGCACAGCATGCCAGGGATTGAATTCAGGCCGCTGCACTCTGCCTAGGCAGGTGTTTAGTCCGCTGAGCTATCAGGCCAGCCCTGGGGACCTGATCTGGAAGGGTACATTTTTGCGTCTAGCTCCTCACTTCTGGTAGGGCCAGACCCTTCACTGCGGAGCTGCTGCCTTGGAGCAACCAAAGCAAAATAAATCCTTCCTCCTTTTAGTTTCAGGCATCAGGTATTTAGTCCCAGTGACAGGAAAATGACTGAGACACAGATGACCATAGGGCCAGTTAGATGGCTGGCTAGAGCTCAGGACACGAAGATCAGAGCTGTACAGCAGGGCCTAATTTCCTGTGACTGCTCTATGTGGAGCGGCCAAGCAGCCCTTAGATGCTGCTCCCCAGAGCAGACAGAACCATTCCAGAGACCCAGCACATTGCTCCTCAGAAGGCAGTGTAGGAGGGCTGGTCCTGCCAACCCATGTCACGTGGCCAATTCCATGGTATGGCCAGCCTAAACCTAAACTGCATGGGGAGAGAACAGCCATGACAGATGGTTCCACCCTTTACTCTGCCCTTTCAGACACAACCTGGGGCCCAGGACAGCAGCTCAGCTGCGTGACAGTTTCTAGACACATGGCCAACTGCTCGCCATTTGAGGATTACAGCAAGTGATTCTATTTGTGGTTTCTAACCATCCCCTTGTCTCCCCCCCCCAAAAAAAAAACTGTACATGAGTTTACAAACATATTAACATATAAATAATGAGAAACGTCCTGGGGGATCTCCCCTTGTCTCCGCTGGAGATTTAACACTGGAGGGGCGCCGTCCCCACAGACTTTGTGTGCCATAGGGAGCTTCATGGTGGCTGTTCTGGACCAGACACTGGCTTCCTCAGCACCTCCAGACTGAACTGCCAGTCTCCGCTGTGTCCACGGAAGAGCCGGAAGCCATGAGCCTGCAGCGTGGCAGCTCCACTGCCCGTCATCGTTCTGGCTCGAGCTCATGCTGGAAGGGACGCTTCCTCTCCCGACAGTGCTTCTTGTGGGCAGGCCAGTCCTTCTGCTGGCACTGGGAGCCGCAGTACCGGGCCACCTGGCAGCGCCCGCAGATGTTGAACTCCCGGAGCTGAAAAACACAGACCACTGTGGCTTTACTGTCGTGGGGGGCAGAGAGGGAGGGGCACACTCACATCTCAGAACCTGGAAGGGCCTGGCAGAGCTCCATGCTCCACTGAGCTGCACTCACTGACAGAGTGCTGGCCCAAAATGGGAAGCCTGGATTCAATCCCCAGCACCACAAGCACACACAGAAAGACCCATGCCTGGGGGACAGGAATGCCCACCTGGGCAGCACAACACCAAAGAGACAGCCACCCTGATGGGAGAGCAAGAGGCACCCAGGGCCTGACAGGGTGGGTGTGGTGGGCAGTGGGGGCTCTCTCGCACCTGCTTCTCGATGGCCGTGCAGGGTGGGTAGTGGCATTCATAGTAGGTGCAGGAATTCTCCTCCTCTTCCACCACATCCCCATTGGCATTATAGTACCGGGTCACGTTCAAAACAGGAAACTGCTCTTCTATGGGGTCTGTGGGGAGCTGCTGGATTGCAAGCCAATACAAGCTCTGCTCCCTGAAAGAAAGCAGAACCTGAGTGTGCGCCTGCCAGACCAGGTCAGCACGTGGGCCAGAATGACACCAGGAAACTCCCACCCCAAGCTGTGTCTCAGCAATTTTCTTTTTTTTTTTTGCAGAACCGGGAATTGAACTCAGGTCCTTGCTCTTGCCAGAGAAGCACTTATTCTACTGAGCCATCTCCCCGGCCCCTCTTTTTTTTGCAGAACCAGGGATTGAACTCAGGAACCTTGTACTTGCCAGGCAAGCGCTTATTCTACTGAGCCATCTCCCCAGCTCCTGTGTCTCAACAACTTGACTCGCTCAGCACTCCATCTTCCTGCTGCCACTCTCTGCCCAATGCCCATGACAGCTCATGGACGTCAATACCTGTTGCCCGGAGCCTGTGGAAGCCCCTGTGGGCTAGTAGACAGCCCACCCCACTCCACCCCACCCCTGCAAGCTGCCCTACAACCTTCTGAAAGTCTTGCTTAGGTAAGCCAGATGCTACCAAGAATTACAGTAAGAACTGCAGTCTGGAAAGTACATGCTGCAATTTAAGGTCCTGGCAAGAAAAGGGGCAGCCAAACCCTTCCTGGGCTTCCGGGAGGCACAGCCTGAACCCCGGGAGTCAAGGAGCTGATGAGCCAGCCCTCTAGCAAGCCTGCCCTCAGTGTGGCTGGTACAAGGCCTGGCATGTGGAAAACACCCTGGCTGCTCCCTAAGCCCTTCCAAGAGGTGCTGCAAGACAGCAAGTGCTCAGGAGCACCCTCTGGAGACTCAGAGCAGGATATACACCGTGCAGTGCAGGGCTGGAACTCACTGCCCAACCATGACCAGCACTCAGTGAGAGGAAAGCAGAGCAGAACCCCAGAGCTTGGGAAAAGCCAGCGTCCTTCTCCTAGCCCAGGAGCCACAAGTTCTGGCCAGCTGGAACTGTACCCCTCAGGCTGTCTCTGACTGCTTCTCCTGGCCCAGGACCAGACCCAATGGCTGACCACACACCTCTGTATTCTAAAACCCTGACAGGTCTAGGGCCAACCCAGGCCACCTGCACTAGAGGAGCTGCCTCTGAGGCACAGCCCTCTAGGACTCTCCCCCAGAAGCCAGAGCAGGACCTGAAGCCCACCATACCTGGCTTCTAAGTGCCCTCTTTTCCAAATGGGTCTGTAACTGCCACTACTGTATCTATGGCTAAAGGGGATATTCAGAAAAAGTAATAGTCACAGGATGGCCATGTCACAGCAGACACAGGCCTTGCTGGTGACAGGAAGGGGTTGCAAAGAGCCAGGGAATCTGTTGCTGCTGGTATCCATTCTGATGAAGCATCCCAGAGGCAGTACAACTGGAGGTGGTGGCACTGTCCTAGTTCTCTAGATTTCAGCTAGGACCAAAAAGTGACCGCTTTCTACTTCAGAGAAGTTCAGTTTCTTTTTTCTTTCTTTCTTTTCTTTTTTTTTTTTTTTTTTTAGTGGAAGCGGGGATTGAACTCAGGCCCTTGCGCTTGCCAGGGAAGCACTTACTCTACTAGCCATCTCCCTGGCCCAGTTCAGTTTCTTTTATTTTAACATAATAAAGTCCCAACTAACAAAATCTCCAAAAGGATTAATGGCCTACTCAATTTTTGCTACAGGTGGAGGTCCATGCCCATAACCGCAGCACCTTATAGATGCTGAGGTAGAAAGTTCAGAAATCAAACCCAGACTGGGCATCTTAGCAAGACTGTCTCAAAACAAAAGTTTAGGTCAAGCCTGGTGGCACACACCTGTAATCCCAGCACTCAGGAGTCTGAAGCAAGAGGATTACTCCAAGTTTCAGACCAGCTTGGGTTACATAGTGATTTCAGACCCAGCCTGAACCACACAGGGAGACTCTCAAAGCCCCTCCCCCAAACACACACACAAGTTCAAACCAGGTGTGCTAGTACAACCTGTAATCACGGCACTGAGGCTGATCACCTCAAGTGCAGCATGGGCTACATAACGCGTTCAAGGCCAGTCTGAATTACATAGCAAGACACTACCCCCCCCCAAATAAATAATGGCTGGAGACATAGCTCATTAGGAAGGCCTTGGGTTCAGTTTCCGGTGGGTGTCGGGGTAACAGGAAATTACATGACAAAATATGGCATGACACCTACTTGACAATCATGAGGCCCTGAGTTTGATTCCTCATTAAAAAAAAACAGGGCCAGAGAGATAGCTCAGTAGAATAAGCACTTGCCTGGCAAGCACAATGTCTTGAGTTTAATCCCCGGTACTGCAAAAACAAAAACAACAACAAAAAAAAAACTACTGATATCAGGACAGGGACCAAAGCAGCAGCCAAGCACATGCTAGCTCTGTCCTTACTAAGGGTATAGTCAGTAGGTCACCGTGCAGGCCTAGAGCAGTGGCTCAGGGACCATCCCCTCACATCACCAACTCAGTGGCACAGGGCTCTGGCCTGACCCTGAGGCAAAAAACTGCGAAGATTCTCCCATAGACTCCAAACCCTGAACCTTAACCATGCCTGTCACCTATCTGCTACAGCAGTCAGAACTTACAATATTAAGGCTGCACTAAGTGGCCAAAGGCACCAGTGGGGCTAGACAGCCCTGGGCCCAGCTCACTCCTAAACTCAGTCCTGCTGGCCCTGGTGTTTCCTAAGGGCCACTTGAGTCTCACAGCTGGGCTGGACCCGGGCAGCAGGTCCTGCTCTGCCAAATGAGAAGCTCATGAAGTACATTCTCAAGACTGCAGAGAGCTGGGCAAAAGCCACAAGGCCAATCCTCAGGAACATAGTACCTTTGTTTCCTTCACACTACTCAGTAAGACATCTCCAGAAGAGGGTGCACGGGAGGAAACTGCAAAGGTATAGCCGAATGCTGGCCCCCACCCAGCCCATCAACTACAGTGTTCCCAGAACCAATTATCACCCGATCAACCCCAAAAGAAAACCATCAAAATCCCCTTACAGGGGCTGGGTAGATGGCTCAGTAGAATAAATGCCTCCCTGGCAAGCACAAGGGCCTGAGTTCAAACCCCGGTTCCACCAAAACAAACAAAAAAACCCAAGCCAAACCAAGATTAATTCCAAACACAAAACAATCAAAAAAACAAAAAAAGTGTAAGGGGCCAGGGAGATGGCTCATTAGAATAAGTGCTTCCCTGGCAAATGCAAGGGTCTGACTTCAAGCCCTGGTTCCGCAAAAAGAAAAAAAAATCCCCTTACACACACCCCACAGAGAACTTCACCCTTCTTGGAGAAGAAATCACGCAGCTCCTAAAGAACACAGAGCTGGTAGGGGCAGAGCAGGAGGCACTGCTGGGAAAACCCACCTCTGCTTGCTGGAGGTCTCCTCAGCTTTGGGTCGCCAGCCCCAGGGCACCAACTGCAGGTTGTCTAGGCGATTGTCCACAGTCACAGCGTTGAGATGCACCACCTGAAAACCGGGAGCCACGCCACCCCGGTGACGCTCCCTAGAAAAAGACAATTCCCTAGAGCGCCACCTCCATGTTTCATAGGTATTTCAAGTTTTTTATTTATTTAATTTAGGGTCTCACTACACAGCAGCTTGGACTCATAACGATCCTCTTACTGTAGCCTCCCCAGCACTGATTACAAGCGTGTGCTACCATGCCTTGTTTTAGGGCCAGCACAGCATGCTGGGGGTCCAGAGCTGGCATAGCATACAGTATCAGGGATCCAACTTGGACCTTGTGCTTGTCAGACAAGCGCTTAGGGCTGGGGAGATGGCTCAGTAGAATAAGTGATTCCCTGGCAAGTGCAAGGGTCTGAGTTCAATCCCTGGTTCTGGAAAAAAAAAAAAAAGACAGGCGCTTGGACCACTGAGCTAGCTCCTCAGCCCCACAGATATTTATTTCTGCTTGGGCACACAGGTCTGCACATCAACCGATGGGACGCTCACAAGGAATGCCAAGAGGCGCTCAAGTCCTTGCCCAGACAGAATGGGGACTGCACAGATGATCCTACCCTGGATTTAAGGGCTGGACAAAGACAGCCAGGGTGGAACCCAAGACCACCTCTGCATACAGCTTGGAGTCAAGCTCTGTACCGAGTGGTCACCACCACCAAGTACACTGTGTACACCAAGAAGCAGGGGCCCATGTCCCACTGCCATGCTTCATGCATGCCCAGAGAATAAAGAACCCCCCTCTGCAGAAGCCCCACCCCCCAAAAAAACCCCACTCAGTGCCACTACAGCACATTCACCATTCTTTCCATTAGCGGCAAGTACATAAGTAACTCCCAAAGCCAGCCAAAGCCAGTTCAGCTCTGCCTGATGGGGGCTTCGCTGCCTGCAGCAGACCATTCCCCCCTAGCCCGACAGGGCCTGGGGACAAGGTAGCCGAAAAATACTCACCATAGCAGCTCATGAAGGAGCCTGCCAGATCCCCTGCCTCGGTTTTTGTCGAAGGCATATGCAAATATCTTAGCACCATTTCCATCTGCATCTACTTCCATTCGAGCCTGAAAGGAACAGGAAAAGGTCTGTTAAAAGCCTCCAGTTCTCAGCCTCCAATTCAAATCCTACTTAGAAAAATTAAACAAAGCTGAGAGTGGTGGCATATGTCTGTGACCCAATATTCTGGGAAGCTGAGGTAGAAGAATGGCAAATTTAAGCAAACTGGGCAACTTAGTGAGACTCTATCTCAAAATATAAAATAAGGGCCGGCAAGATGGCTCAGTAGAACAAGCACTTGCCTGGCAAGCACAAAGGCCTGAGTTCAATCCACAGTTCCGCAAAAAAAAAAAAAAAAAAAAAATTATATAAAGTAGCTGGGGCTGTAGCTCAGCTGTGTTTAATCCCAAATAAGCAGGGGGATAAAAGAAAAGAAAAATCAAACAAAATGAACAGCCAAAAGGACAAATTGTAACCTTAGAGACACTATGGGCCTCCAGGGGCTCCCAACACAAGACACCAAACACCATGTCCCAGGTCCCAACTCTGTCCTCCACTCCAACAAAAAAATCTCATGAACAACTCTGTGTAAAATAACTGTGGACAAGCTGGGAATAGGGGTGCACAGTCTGTAATTCCCGCACTTAGGAGGCTAAGGCAGAAGGACTGACTTCAAAGCTGGCCTGGACAATATGAGTCTCTTGGGCCGGGAATATAGCTCAGTGGCACAAGTGCTTGCCTGGCATGTGCAAGGTTGAGTTTGGCTCCTGATACCAAAACAAACAAAAAAACGACTCTGTGTCAAAAAAACCACCAATAAGCCAGGAATATGGCTCAATGGCACAGCGTCTGCCTGGCACATTTGAGATCACAAATTTAATTCACGGTACTTAAAAAAAAATACCAATAAGTAAATAAATGAAACTGAACTCATGGACAGAACTCTCCCCATCTTTATAAAAACCCACAATCCAGCACGGGCAAGGCACTCGCGGACAAGTAGTGATGTGAAGCACTGAGATAAAGAGTCATACAGGACCACTGGCCACAGAGGAGCCACAGCCACCAGAAGCAGGGCAGAGGCTCTTCACAAAGACCTGTACAAAGGGGTTGCTACCCCATCTCAAGAACGGCAAAGAGCAAACATGCCATCCACTTTAGCAGACATCCAACCACAGGCACAAAATTAGGTATCTTCAAGAGCTGTTGATGAGCAACAGGTAAAAGTGACAAAGACCAGTGTCATTGGAGCAGAGGAGCAGACAGACACTATGTGGGGTCTGGCCCCGGGGGCACGAGTTCCAGCAGGAAGGATCTCTTGTACTTATAGTCCAGGGGCAGAAACTCACTTCTGCCCCCTCCCCCAGGACCCAGCCAAAATAGCAAGGATCCAGAGGCTGCACTCACCTCGAAGGAGTAGCTCTCCACCAAGGGGATGTCCTGCTCATCTATCAGCGTGTACTTGGTCTGGAAATTAACACACATCAAAAATTACACGTAGGATAAGCGTGGAGACACTGGCAATTACAGCTTTAGCAGCACCAGTTGCATCTTTTCCAGATCCGCAGACGGAAGCCTTGCTCCACTCCACTGGCCCTGGGGTAGATGTATTCAAAGCCAGCCAGGAGCCCATTTTTGTCTGCATAGTGGAGCAAGTACAGGGATCCAACAACTATCCATACAGGACCAACTCTGACAGCACCGAACTTTTCTGCACTAGCGCCCAGAGAGGGTTTTTTCAGTGAAGTAGAGGGACAAGCTGGAGCCTTATGCTGGGCAACAGTGCACGTGCTCACTGGATTACCTTCTCCGCTTTCTGTCCGAAGCGTTCCTAACCCTAACCCTAAGTACTGGTGCGTGGATGGCTAAGCCGGAAGGGTCTCAGAGCTGCTGGAGGTCGCCCGCTCCCAGGCTCAGCAATCCTCCTCCGCCAGCTCACTCTCGGCTCACCGGGTCCGGGCCCGCTTCCCTTCACCAAACTTCACCTGCCCGGCTCCTCCCTCCTCTGAGCCGCGGCCACCGCGCGGCGCCGGGCGTCCAGGCCCAGGGTTCCGCAGCCCCGCACGTGCGAGGGGCGGGGGCCGGCGAAGAAGCGGCGCCGCCCCGCGT